TTAAAAAAGATTTAATTAGCAAGGTATTGATTTATGAACATATCATATAACAAATAATTTTTTAAAAAATTGAAAATTAAAAAAACCTACCTAATTCAGTGTATATACCTTAATACATCATCTATTTCAAGCATATAATCTAAACTAGATCAGTTAGAATTTATTTTTTTTCCGCATGTTATTTGTTGTAATTGGATTGAAGGTAACGGGGCTTTATTTTCTATGGTGATTAAAATTATAAATTGTCAAGGCAGTGATATAAATGAGGTTAATTTCAAGGACATCCATGATTAATTTTGATTGTCTTGAGAGAAAAAAAGGGCAACATTTACTACTTGGAAATGACCACCCAACACAGGGAAATGATGAAATTGGCGTCCAAGCTTTGACCCAATTCCTTTGAGGGCTTGAGATAAGTTTGTTCCTTATTTAGTAGAACTGAGTCCATAGTAACTTGGGCTTAGCCCACCCAGCAGTCTCGTTAATTATTTTATTTATTTTTTATGATCTTAGTGTTAAAAAGGTTGTGATGGTGCAAGACGAGGACCTCAAGGAAGGTCGGCGATGGCGGAATTGGTCCCTCTGCTTCGACTTTTGTGTCACTCTTGTCTTTTTACTATTTATTTTCTTAACGTCTATTTGGTACAAATATAGCCCTTTCACTGTTCGATTGTACTTTTAATTTTATCAGAACTAATGAGAAACAGTTTCGACACACATGCATGTATGTAATATGACCGACTAAAACTTTCCTCTCTCCTCTCCTTCTCTCCTCTCTCTCTCTCCCCTTTCTCAACTTTTATGTAATAGAAATGAGCTTGATCGAATTGTGAAGTTTAGAAAACTGCAGGGACCTAATAAAGCAAAAGAAACCTTATAATGAATAGTGAAATGTTTGAGTGTCAATTTCATGGTTCCTTGGCCCATGAACATTCATCCCATGGCCCCGACATTATTTGAGAATTTGCTGGATTGAAGGCCCAGAAACCAGCCCCCTGTAGATTCTTAACGTCAATTTTGCAATGTTATCTGTCCCGAGGGCGGGTTATCACTGATTGTATTTGATAAACACCCGGTTCTGTTCTTTCCACTTCTTTCTAGATCCCAGAGCATTCATCTGCCTTTATTCCTTGGCCTCGAGATTAAAGGCATACCTATTTGTTTCAACTTTCAAAACAAGTGATTTAGCATCAAACAGCGAGACGCAGGCATCATGGCTTCGTTATTGCAACCTCCATTCGGCTATTCTCCATTGCTCAACCAGTTCAATGCCATGCCAATGCAATCGATCAAGTTAGCAGAACTCTTCTCATGGTGCTCTTCTTCGTAATGTGATAGTAGCTCAGAAGATAAATGGTATTACAAAGGTCTCACCAAATTAATAATAAAGGCAAAAGGTTAGTTTTTTCATTAAGCACTAGCATCCCAAAACCCAATACACCATTCACGCAACAGAATGAATAGATATCCACCTACATGGCTCATGTTCGTGCCCCATCAATGAAGCACCAAGGGTACAAGGCGCGGTTACACAGTTGTCAGGAACTTTAGCAAATGTGGAGACGAGAGAACCTGACAAAGATCTTGACCCTTCCAGCTTCATCATATCTGCAACCTGAAAATACACATTATCATGTCAAATTATATATAGATTCCTTGAATTGTATTCGAGGTTGGCACAACTAATATTCCAGCCACTAGAAAGAGCAAGAAATCAACCGGCATCAACAAATTTATCCTTCAAAGCATATCTGAAAGCTTTTAGAATATAGTATCGATTCTCCCTCAATTGCACAATAATGGGGAGGGGAAATTCAGCAAGTATACTGGCCAGCTCTCTCGCAAACTATGATATACGACAGAAAACTTCACAGCCAAACAAGGAGAGAAGAATTGAAAACATTTTGAGGCAGGAGCACTTACTGTTGAGTGCCAGCTTGTTGAACCAACTGCGAATATATGTATTCATCTACCCTCTGTTTTGCTAGCGCCACCTATAATGCATCCAGCAGTTTCAATAAAAAGAAAACCTTGGAAAATACAACTTAGAGCTATAAGTCTACTACAGCTCCTTTTCTAAGAAAAAACCAATCCCAGTTAATTAAACAAACACTTTTGATTGACTCTTTTGATAAATATGATTACGTTACAAAAACATGAGGACAATAAGCAAAGCCCATAAAATAGTTGTCTTTTTATATGTTACAATGATGAACATTTTCGAGTTTTTCTTACTTGTTGTGGAAAATTGATGGTTGACAGTAGGAATACCTGCTGAGAACTACCAGCTAGTTGTATATGCCTATGTTTTTGCGCACCTTTCCCCCCGTGAACCTGCAGAAGAGAAAATCAAAGAGAAGAATACTCACTCGTCCTCACCAAGTTGTATATCGCAATGTTTTTGTCAAGCCAGGCAGCTAGTGAACCAGGTAATTTATGAAATCAATAAACCCAGAACTGATAAAAAGATTTAAATATTTGCATTCTCAACCAGAAATCAGTAAGAGATTGGGAATTGGATATCACAGATAAAGATTTGGACATCTGCTGACCTTGATTACTGCTCCAGACTCCACTCTGATCCTTGATATATTAGAACCACTTCTTCCTATCAAGCCACCCATCATTGTCTCCGGGACCATCATCTCCATGGTTACATAATCAGCTGCAAGATTGGTTGTCCTAAAGATGATGTGGTTATAACACAAAAATATTAACATTTGAAAAACAGTCGGCAGGTATAATTTTTTTCTTTTTTTCCCTTCTATAAACACAACAATGAGATCACCTGCAGCTTGGGGCGCATATTGTTGAAATGGAACTGCGCTATAGTTGTACGATGGACTGATAGAAATTACTTGTTTAGGTGGGTTCTCCCTAAACCACATAAACTCAAAGCATTATTTTACTTTAAAAATATATTTTCCCAAGACAATACAACAAACAAGACTGAAACACCAAATAACATCAATCAACATAGTATTCAAAACCTGAGTTGACAACCAATCTCCTCCAGAGCTTTTAGCACTACAGGTACATCTCCTGATATCTGTATTTAACAAAAAATTTCAGTCATCCATTATTCTTTCTATCCGGTTTCAGCTAGTTATCCATTTCACAATTGATGACAATGAAAACAACTAAAGCAACCTTAAAATTCTTAATATTATACCAAGTTAAACAAATTTTCAGTAAAAAAAAAGGCTAGCAAGGGAATTATTTTATACTCATGAAACAGCTAACAACGAGCTAAATCAAATAAAGAAGCATCAAAACCCCATCTTAATCTTAAAAAGCAAGTTCATCAAAACCATTACAACAAGCCAACCTGCACAACACGATCAGATTCATAAGCAGAAGCACAGAGAGGCAACTGATTCGGCGCAAGAACAGTGATCATTGCACCTGATGAGTTCCTCAATTTCACTATATTTTGACCAGACATTCCTATCAAAGAACCAGCTTGAGACCCAGCTATTAATAATCTTATCGTATTTGCAGCCACATGCCCGGCATTGACTAGTTTCCCTATATCCACGCCGCCGCCATCATCCTCATTCAAAATCAACTCTGCAATTCGCTGCAACGCATTCTCCGCGTCAGTTGCCCCATTCTCACTCTCCTTCGAGCTTATAATTATCACGCGCTCTTCATGTCTCTACACAACATTAAAGAAAAACAAAAAATAAAAAACTTTCATAGTCAATCATTTGAATTTAAGTACAAAACCCTAATTTTCAATAAAATTGGGGGAATGGGTTTTATTACTGACGGCGACGGCGTCGGCGATTTTGATCGTGGCTTTGGTATCTTCTCGAATCTTCTGGATACGATGGCCTTGTTTGCCGATTACTTTTCCGATCTTTCCCGACGGGACCACGATCCTGAATATAACATCTGCTCTAGCTTGCCGTTTTGCGGCGGATGTTTCACCACCGTCAAAATCTTCACGCCGGCGCTTGGCTGTCACCGGGAGGGCGTTTAACTTAGGTAATTCAGTGCCTGGCGGCGAGGGATTTAACTGTAATTCCCATGGTTGCGCCATCAAAGAGCGTCACTCCTTGTTTGGAGAGAGAATAATTAGACAGAAGACTTGTGGCTGCCATCATTAAATAATAGGAAAAACTTCAAATGTAATCCCTGATATTTTACTATATTGATAATTAGATTTTAAATCCTTTTATTTTATCAATACCATCCAATAATCCATATTTGATGACGCTTTCCTTCCTTTTTACAGTGATTAGTTTGTTTTGTGTAAAATATTTTATATTTAGAATATTTTTTAATAATAGAGATGGAGAAGAAGGTGGTGATGAGATGACCACAGTAAAAGAAAATGAAATAATGGTGGTGAGATGGAGAAGAATATTAAAATCATGTGATGATATTGTAACTGAAATATTAATATTTTACAGAATTTTATGAATTAAAAATATTATTTTATTAAATTAATTAAGTTTGAATGTTGACTATAAAATATTTTTTATTAACTAGTTTTTTATGTAAAACATTTTGCAATAAAACATTTTTAGAAATAAACACAAAAAAATCCAAAAAATATTTTATGTGAAATAAATAGACAATAACAAATAAAAAAATCATTCAATGTATATATTTCCATTTAAAGCATAAAAATAACTCCTAATCTATTTTAAAATTTAATTTTAGAACATTAAATTATAATCAGTTTTTTTTTTTTAAATATTCACTATCGCATATAAAAAGTTGTTATTATGATTTGATATTATTTGTTTTTAGATAGATTGGGTTTTATTTGATATTTAAATAAAGAAACTAAAAGTGGACGGGTGAAATTGTTTAATTGTCTAAAATTGATAGAGTTAAGAGATTTGAAACTTAATTAATAACAAGGAAATATAGTAGGAGCTAAAATGGGGTTTATCCTGAATAATAAGGATGCATAAAACTATTAAAATCACAATTATACCCTTTATATAAAAACTAAACCCGAACTCTTTCAAGCGAATAAACATAAAGCCCTGAAAAATCAGAGTAAAAACCCTAATATGTGGAAGATGCCAATACCAATTCCAATCTATACAACATTTTGCCGCCATTTTAGCAGCTCTCTACCAAAACGTCCAATATTTACGAGTGTGCCATGGAAGTACAAGAATCAAGCAATCAAACTAGCTCAGCAAGCTTTAACAGATTATCTACACTCAACAAGGTCACTACCATACACTTATGCAGATCAAATAAGCAAGAATTCTCTTGTTTCGCTCTCAAATCTAGTATCCAACATTCATTTCACTTCACCAACATTCGCTACTTCACTTCAGAAATATCTCAGGTACCATCCCATTAATGAATTAGAGTTTTTTTATGAAAGTATTGGAATTGATTACGATGAGGTTAGTGGGTTTTTGTCTAATGACAAGTTTTTTATTTCTGAAGAGGGGAGTGCTATAAATGTTTCTTGTGTGCTTTGTGATTTTGGGTTTCCCTGGAATAAGTTGGGGATGTTGTATAAAGAGGAGAAACGTGTTTTCAGTATGAGTGAAGAGGAGGTGAAGTCCAGGCTTTGTGGGCTTAAGGGTTTTAGGTTTAGCACTACGTCGGTGATTGGTATTTCCTTGGCGTTTCCTTTTGTGTTGAGAGGTGAATTGAGTGGCGAGATTGGTGCTTTGTTTGATGATCTGAAAAGGGTTTTTGTGGATTTTGATTTGGAGAGTTGTGTTGAAGGAAATGTGGATGCTTGGTATGAGGTTTGTAGGAAAATTCGGGTGTTTTATGATTTGGGCTGTGAGAAAGGGAAAGTAGGGGAGTTGATGGGGAAGAGTAAAAGAATTTTTGTTGATTACCCATTAGAGGTTTTGGTTCAAAAGGCTGAGTTTTTTTGTAAATTTGGTGTTAGAAAGGAGGATGTTGGTTTGTTATTACTAAAGAAGCCAGGAATTTTGGATTTTCAGTTGGATGGGCAGGTAATTTCAGTTGAGGGGTTGTTGAAGCATTTTGGGTTGAGTGCTGAAGAATTGAAATCTGTTGCTCAAAATTATGGCCATGTATTTGGCAGAAATAAAATGGCCAATTTGCCTCATGTGATGAGAGCTATGGAGTTACATAAGTGGTTTTTCAATAAAATTAAGGATGGAAATCATCAATTGCTTGCTAGTTATGTCATGAGTGATCCTGATGAAGATTTGGATGAAAAATATAGAGATGGCTTGGAAAGGATCCAATGTACAAGAACGCCCATGCATACAATGAATAAGTTGGAGTTCTTGCATGCAATCGGGTTTGGAGAGAATGCTTTAACTATTAAGGTATTAACTGACTTGCATGGTACTAGTGGTGAATTACAAGAACGAGTTGGTTGCCTTCTTCGTTATGGGATTGTATTCTCGAAGCTTTGCTCGATGATTAGAATGATGCCAAAGATCCTTAGCCAAAAGCCTGAGATACTGCAGCAGAAATTAAACTACCTTTGCGAGGACATGAAATCCTCCTTGCAGTACCTTGATATTTTCCCTTCATTTTTGTGTTTTAACCTGGAGAATCGGATTAAACCAAGACATAGATTTCATATGTGGCTCACAGAAAGGGGTTTCTGTAAGCAGGAGTACTCCATTGCAAGCATTGTTGCAACCAGTGACAAGAGTTTTGTAGCTCGCTTACATGTAATTCACCCAGATGCTCCAAAACTTTGGGTTGATTTTTCTCATTCAAAAGCCCACTGAAAGATGGAGAACAGTAAAATATGGTGAGTCAGTGTGATAATCTTCTTGGCAGGTAGATACTTCTGACAATTACTGTGAACAGTGTTTTGAATTTTTTCATTCATGTATTAGATGGATGTGTCATGTTCGTTGATATCTTGCTGACTTGCCCGGGGACACCTGCATCTGTCTTTTTCCTCAGTCTCTGGTTCTAGCCGTCATGTAGCATTGAATTCAGCAGCGTTGATTTGATCTTCCTGGGTGCGGCCTTGAGAAAATTCCAACAAGTTTCGCGCAACATTTGGAAACAACCGGGGTTTGTTCCATGTTAAGTAAGTTATCTTTTTTTAACATCTAGAAAGTATTCATTATATTTGGCAATTCTACAATCAATAATAGTACTATTGTCTCCAGATACGAGGTTTTAAATTTCTTCAAAGAAAAGATTTTGTAAACATAGTTCTTGTGCGTGCGTTTACTTCTCCTGCATATTAATATGCATGTATTGCTATACAAAAGAGATACGTTGGTCTGACTTTGTTATACATGTATTGGCAGTTAATCATAAAAATTCATGACTCTCAGACATTTGAACATCCCATGGAAAATTGCGCTGAAAAAAATTATTCTCATAGTGTTTAGATGAAGTGATTTTTTTTCAAGTAACCTCCAACTTATTGTCTGGGCATGCTTTGTTGCAAACTGTTGCATTGATCTTTGCATATGGACATACGGATAAAATTTTTGAAAACCTTGTCGAATTGGGGAAAGAAATCCTTGGCAATTTCAACCTTCAATCCAGTTTTGAAGACTGGGAGAATTGAGGTGGGAGGGCTAGGTTTGTTCACGGGCATTCCACATTTTTTCTTGGTATAACTCTTAGATGTTTGCTTGCTTGCTTCTATCTTATTGTCTGGGCATATATTGCTTCCTTTTTTCTATTTGTTAGATGTTTGCTTGTAATCGCTGATTGGTCGACAGATGACCATTGCTGTTGCATATTTTCATCCCTGTCAGCATATGGAGGGTGCATTGAAGTCCCAGGGATGTGGACGACTCGTGGACAATCTCACTTCTCATGAAACTTGCACCTCCCCTTTCTCCTCTCCCAAATAAAGTGGACATGGAAGCTGGAGAAAGCTGATGGCCAGGCTGCTGAACTCTGATGTTGGAAGTAGCAGTCACTATACCACAATTCTTTCTTCCAAAACATTACAAAGACACTGCTTGTCTATGATAAGAAACTGATGTATGGTGATGTTTATTCTCACGCAGTTTTTGTTTCTAATGGCAAGCTCTAAGATATTTAGGGAAGTAATTATCTACTCTACTAAAAAGGAAATGAATCCCTTCACCGTTCATATTTTCTTTTTCCTTCTTTTTTTAACTCAGTCTTTCAATTTTTTTTCTTTGTGAAACTCCAGCACCCTCACTCTGTGTGTTTTAACAGTGAAGGAGCTACCCCCATTGTTTCTTCTTCTTTTTTTCAAAATTTGAAAAATATTTTATGAATTTCATAATTTATTTATTTATTTTTCTTTGAAATTATTATAGTCACGAATAAATATTTCTATATTTTTTTGGTGGTTAAATTTTACAAATGTCTATTTTATTAAGTTATTTTTTAGATTTTTTGTTTTCATTTTTATTCTTTATATTTTATCGATTTTGAATTGGTTTTTATATTTTATTTCAATTTTATTTTATATGAGATTATTGTAATCTCAAACAATTATTTTGATATTTGATCAATTTTTAATTTTACCAACATATATTTTTTTATTATACGATTAAGTGAAAAATAAGTTAAAAAATAGTTTTTAAACCTAATGAACTTCATAATCTAGATCCTGAGTTTGATAGGTTGAATTATAAAGTTTGAGTTGATTAAAAATATCATCTTAATATTATAAAAAATATTATTTTAAATTTATTTTTAAAAAAAAACATGCATTTTACTAATAGTTTTAGTTATTTTTATATTTATTAAGTTAATTGGATTATGTTAAATTAACTTTTTATGTGAGTTAATTTTTAAGTTTAAGTGAGACAAATAGTTGAATTGAAAGGGTTTAAAGTTAATTTATTGAGCTGGGTTTTATTTTTAAAAAAATCTTCTAGTTTTTTTAAATTATTTTTAATTTTATTTATTTTGAATTAATTTTTGTAATTTGTTTATATTTATTTCTATAAAATTATTATAGTTTAAAATAAACATTCTGATTGTTTATTAGTAATTTTATTATTATATATTATCAAGTAAAAAATAGTTTTTTTTAAAAAAATTAAAGTTATTAAACCTAATGGAATTCATAATATGAGTGATAGATTTAACTAGTTAAGCTTTAAAATTTGATATAATATATTATTATTTTAATATTAAAATAAATATTTGTTTAGAAAAAAACAAACTATATTTTTTGTTAATTATTTGAATTGTTTTGAATTTTTTAAATTGAATAGAATATATTAAAATATTTTTTTATGTAATTTAATTTTAAATTAATGTTATATAAAGAATCGAGTAAGAATGTGTAAAGTTTATTTTTTAAATTGGATTTAAAAAAAATACAAAATATTCCCTAATATTTTTTTCTTGTTTGAAAAAAAATATGATCCAATCTGCACGTAGGCTCCCGATAAACTATTTTGTTACTAATATACTGTAGCTCTATATAAGAATTGAAAAAGAAATTACGATCCAATCTGCACCTAGGCGCCCAATAATAATGATAATTATTATTATTACTTTTATTCGATTTCGGATTTGATTTTGTTTTCCAAAATAAATTCAAAGAATAATTCATCGACGGTCCAGAAAATAAAGAGATTCAGTATGAGCCTCAAAAAAATGAAAACTACTCGAGTGCATTTTAGGGCCTCTTATCTGGGCCTTATATTGAGCCCATCAACTCCTCGAGTTCGTGGGCCCGTCAGCTTTCCTAGTTAGAACTTTATAATAAAAAGCTAGGAGTTTGTGATGCCGACTCACCTTCATAATTTTTTAAAACAGAGATAGGTATTGCATTGACGACGTCATAGCAAGTGGGTTAGTCATTTTGACATGCTTTGTTTGATGCATTAGCATTTAAAACTTTTGGGTTTTACGGTTGAAAAAAGTCAACCCTCCAGACCGTAGATGGATGGGAGTTGACTTTGTATTCTAATACAATTGATTTATGTTAATATTATTTTGATAAAAAATCAATAAATTTTTAATTAAATTACAAGTTAATTAAATTTTTTACCATGTCATACCTGGTTACTTTTATTTTTATTTTGTTGGTAGTGTTTTATAATTTTTTATTTTATTTTTGATAAGATATTAGAGTTATTAATTTAATTTAAACGGGGGTGATCTAACTAAATTTAGCCAAACGAACGTGGTTTCTTTGATTTTTGAGTATATGTATAAAAATCACAAACTAATTAGAAAATATTTTATCAATTAAAAAAATCAAAGAAAAGGGGAAAAGAAATAAATTAGCATGTGGTTTCCATTTCCAAATGGAAGTCGCTCGGTATCGACAGATAGGACTGGTCAACGAGTGAACAACAGACCACATAAATGCAAAGGTTGTATGTGTATTTCTACTCTTTACAGTATTTGACACTATCTGCATGGCGTGATGAACGTGTCTGGGTACAAAACTTAGATTGGTATCGACATTTCTTTGTATTTCTTGATCCCCTGTTTTCTCAACTTGCCATGAGCTTATCGAATTTCAACAAATTATAATTTAATTTGGGCATAGAAAAAAGCAATTAAAAAAAAAGTGCTACAATAAACTTTCTAAATGTTTTAGTGTATATTATAACAAGATTCACATACCATTTTGATACCATAAAAGAGAATGATTCTTGTACATTTTTGTAGGATAAACTTGAACTATAATCTCACAATTAAAAGTAGGCGTGTTAATGAATATTACAAATCAAGTTTTTAAATATTTAAATATTTATATTTTATCTCTCAAGTTCAGGGTATTTATATCAATATCTTTTGCCCGGGTGTTATTTAGTGTTCAACATAAAATAAAACAGTAGTGTGTGTGTATATATATATATATATTATTAAACTTGAATCGGCTTTGACAATATCCATATTAAATCCATTACCTCTTATAAATATAAATCTATCATTACCTACTAAGAAAGGATAAATATGGAAGATTACCAATCATTTTGACTATTAAATAAGGCAATAGTAAAAAACACAGACATATTGATTTAGGCTGGTTCGGATAAGTCGATGTTGAACTGTGATCCTTCGAAACAAGAGTATGTTTTTCCTTGATTTGAGCCTCTCATCGTGGCATCCTGCAATGCACCCACAGTCAACAGCCTTTTCCTCGGTGTCTAAAGTCGTGGCAACCTTTTGGATGCAGTTGGGAGATTAATATGCTCGAGATTTAAGTACCAGATCCAGTAAGAAACAACAGAGGACACAACACAGATGTTCCACGCATGACTCGTTAGATTCTCCATAATAGCTTATACTAACAATAGCCTTATTTTATGAACATGCAAAGGGAAAGTGATTTAAGTTCCTGCAATGCCAGGACAAACAAAATAACAAGCCACTTTAATCCGTAACAAAATCTCCTCCTCCTCCTCCTTCTTTCTAAGCTTTTTGCACCTCAATACTAAATTTGCATGATATATATTTGGTATTATAGTATAAGATATTTTTTATAACTTTTTTTAAAAAATATTAAAATATTTTTTTTTACATCAACACATCAAAATTATCATAAAAACATAAAAAAAAATATCAATTTAATATATTTTCAAATCAAATAAAAATTTTAAAATACATTTCTAAACACAAAAACAAACTGAAATGTCTATTTTATTTGTTTTTTTCTAAGATAAATATTATTTTTTCCAACATATCATTTTAACAAGACTTGATTTTTGAGTCCATTTAAGATTTAATTTTTTAAAAAATAATATCATTTTAATAAATAAAATATTTTTTTTATTTTACATTAGATGTATTTGAATTAACGAGTTACAGGGTTAACATGCAATCCTGTACCAAAGTTTTGTGACGCATATGGAAACAATATTAAATAAATAATCTACACAAAAATTGACGCCCTAGCAATTAATAGATTCTAAAATCTATTATAGAAAACAAAATCTGCACTGGGGCTCACGGAACCTGCCTTATGATCGGAGATTAAAAAAAAACGGCTACAGATAGATAAAACCGTACCCAAGTAATCAAATCCCAGTAGGGCAAAATGCAAATACACTGAATCCCGAGGACGAAATTGGCAATACAATAATTAACCTTCTTGTTTCCATCCTCTCCTCTTAAGAGCATCCTCAACAGGCAGCAGTAGTATATTAACTGCTTCCTCTACTCCTCTTCCCTCCATCTTTTCTTATCACACAAGCCTATGCTCTAGAATTTCTGATTCCCTTCTCCATCAGAATCCCTAATAAGCTGTCGTTTTGCTTCTCGAAAGCAGAGAAAGAATCGGACTCTTTCTCTTCAATGGTGTTTCGCACTGTACCGGAAACTGAGCCAAACACAAACAACAACACTATCATGGCTTCTTCTACTCCTTCTAGTACTGTGAAACCACACCAGCCACTCCATAACTTCCCTTTGCAAGACCTAAAATGGTCAATGAACCATTCCAATAACGTTACCAACCACCACCACCGCTTTCGCACTCACAAATCTCCTCACCGCGATGCTGCTTATGCGGCGGATTCGGAGGGAGACGGCGGGGTCAAGATTGATAAACTATTGAAGAAAAAATCTGGTGATGTTGAGAATTCGGAGAGGAAATCGAAGATCTTTATTCGCTTGAGGACTAACAAAAACAGCAGCGGAAGCGGAAGCAGCAGCGGAAGTAGCAAGTGCGTGGTTGGTGATGTTGCTGCGGGTGCAGTGGATCAGGGCTCTGCTGCTGTAGTGGAGGATGTGGAGGACCTGATGCCGAAGACGTGGAATCTGAGGCCGAGGAGAGCTGTTAATAATCTTAATAATGATAGTAACAATAATAATAATAACAAGGGTTTGAATGGGAATGGAGGTGCTTTGAAGATTTGCGGGGGTGCGGTGCCGGAGATCAAACCTCAAGTGCCGGGTGGTAACCGGACTGAATTGACTCGGTCCAACCGGAGTGGTAATGACGCTAATAATTATGATAATGACAATGACAATAATAATAATAACAAGAAGAAGGAGAGGGGTAAGGGGAAGGAAAAGGAAAAGGAGAAGAAGGTGAGGTTTTCGATTCCTCTTACGAAAGTGGAAATCGAAGAGGATATTTATTCCTTGACTGGATCAAAGCCGGCGAGAAGGCCTAAGAAGAGAGCAAAGCATGTGCAGAAACAACTTGATGTATGTTGCGATTATTTTTCTTTTTCTTTATTTCTGTTTTATAAAGTTTCTTTTTTGTTGGTAAATTGATGGATTCGGTGACTAATTTATGTGTGTTTTTTTTCCGTTGATTTTGTTTTTGCAGTGCTTGTTTCCTGGTATGTGGCTGGATTCGATCACCCCGGATTGCTATAAGGTTCATGAAGCTCCTTCGAAGGTCTGATTTTGTGTTGATTTTTTGTATGTTTTAAGGATTCTCTTTCTTTCTTTCTTCTTCTTCTTCTTTTTTTTTCCACTTCCTAGTTGATGGCTCAGTGAATCAATGAAACAGGAAGAGGAATTGGTGGCTTGCTATTGTGGTTTTAAGTAAAATATTTCAATATAGGGTTTAGTTACTTCTTAGTAAAAGTAGAAGATGAGGAGAATAATGATGAAGAAGACATGCTATATATATATAATGACCATGTCATTTATTTTTTTAAATAAATTTTTAGCTAATTTGTTTTATGCTTTGATTTATACAGTTGAGAATGTAGTTCTCCTGCTCTGCAGGGTTAGAGAATCGACTGAGAAGTTGGAGGTGATGACTGTCAGACCTTTTTTATATGCTGAAATCAATGTAACAAACACATGATCCCGTGAAGATGAAAGGGTAACAAATGTATCCTGTTTTTGTGCCTTTTTCTACTCACCGAGGAGTCTTTGGGAATGTTGGAAGGGTTAGTGTTATAGTTTATGTTATGGGTAGCTACAGATGTACATAAGAAAAGTCTCTCCAATGAGTAGAAGATATGAATAACTTTGATGTTTATGTTTTCAGTTAGTTTGAAATCAAGATGCTTTTCCCAACTCTCTGTTTCATGCTGGTTTTTGAGAACTTGTTACTTGTTATTCCAACAACATGAATTATGTCTGGAACCCAAAACCTAAATAGTTGGTATATGGCGTGTGATTGACTTACACGTCTCATTTCTGCATCTCTTTCCATTATAAATATGCCGTTATCAGAGAAAAACACATTTATTTTAACGGCTTTTAATTGATTAAAGGAAAGTCTGATTCTTTGAGGAACTGAGCAATTTTCTCATGCTTGCCTTTCCTTTTCTGAAGAGTGAGCCATGCACGTCGTTGTCGTTATTTGTGGACTGCACGGGCCATGCATGTGTGTCATGATTAGAAGTCGGCATGATCGATTCATAATGTTGCGATTAATAAGAAACATGTGTTCTAAGAAGAGAAATCATATGATTTGCTAGATTTATGAGATGAGTTGTTTCATACATGGATTAAGTTACTGTATTTTTTACCAGATTGTAAGATCATACAGAAATTATCATGTCATCATGGAGTTGCATTTATCAAGCTAACAAGTTGGTAGCTATCATAAATAACTCCAATGATCAAGAGCTTAGTTACCTAGAATGCGGAATGTTTCAATTCATGTACGTATGCTGGGTAGTGTACGTCACTTAGTTTAGCATGAAGTTTAGCATTTTTGACCAGACTTGGTTCACATTTCATATTATGTTAGTATGCTTTAAAGCGCGTATTAGTTGTTTATTTAAAGGTTTTTGAGCGACGCCACTTAGAAAACAAATTCCCAGACTAGCTTGCATTTTTTTTCTTTGAATGTTACATACTTATTAAACTTTAATGAATGAATTAATCAGTATTTTATTAACTTAATTTATTCCATGAAGAGAAATATACCTAGAGAGAAATATACCTGGTTGAATCTTTAAATAAAATCTTTCCTTATTCTTTCCCTTTGTTCCTTGGGCCATGTCTCACCATGCATATCAGTATATGTATAGTAACTTGGCTACTTTGGATTGCATGCTGTTGCATAACTGGGATGGAATATCTGGGATTAGAACCCTGATTATGATTCTAGGATGTTGCAGGAATATCTGGAAGCAATAAGTACCAATGGAAACTTGATTTGTTTGCCTGGTGAAGTTATAATCAATTTATGTACCTGGTATTTTGATTTGTTTCAGTTTGAAATACGTCAAACTTACAGGACCTTGATTGATGTGATGAAAGAAATGTTATTGGTTGATTAGCTAAGCAACTTTTTTTTAACCGTTTTTCTTTGCGAAAGTTATATGAGCTATGGCTGCCATGGTTGTTTTTAGTAAGATTGCAAGATTGAAGAATGTGGCCATTTCAATGTTTTATATGGAAGAAATTTGATACTGCAATCCAATCTTTGAAATTTAATCTGGTTGAACTGAAGTCCTAGAAGTGGCCTAGGATCTGAACAGCATTCATAAAAAGTACTCAAGCCCCTATCTTATCATTTTCAGAATTTTATCACTTGATACTTGCACATTAGTGTCAGTATGCTTTGCCAATTAGCTTTGGACAAGATTATTAATGATGAGAAAACTTACTGCATCTAAGTACTATGTTATTGGAGAATGAGGATAGGAAGATGCGAGTCTTGGACACTTCTTTCAACTCTTTGGGCTGGGTGCTCTTATGTTTACATCACATGCATAAAATAATAAATTTGATGAATGCCCTGAATTATATGCTATATTGATTTGTATGATTGTTTCAGCCGCAGTTATCCTAAATATCAATCTTGTGTTTGATAATCAATGTCCTCAAGGTTATGTCCTATTTTCTCAACATATAAATGAGTGGTTCAATGGATTGGGATGTTTGTAGAAAATTGTTTTAGTTTTTCTCCTAGTTTTCTTGATTCAAACCTTCGAATTAATGACTGCTGTAAAACAATAAATTTGATTCCATTTGTACTTGAAACTGTTTGAGCGAATACACTCCATATTGCATGCACTTTATTTCCATAATTAGTGTTTGGCTGCTGTGAGGGCCGATCCATTCATATAAATCCAATTGAGACCCTGGATAAGCTCCTCAGTCATATGCAGAACTGAAAAGGAAGAGATCCTACTCCTGCGGCCATAATATTTTGGAACCATTGTTTGAGATAAGCAATTTATGTGTTTGTTATCTCTTGATACGTACTGTTTTGCTCACAGTTGGATCTAACTGAATGCTGATTGGATTGCTTCTGAGATCAACGTGAGGAGTTTGTGTGGAGGAAGAGTGGTAATTATCACTGTCTTATTGATTATAAACTCTAGTTTATTCCTCCAACAAGTTTTCTTTTCCTGCATTTCGAAGGCTTGATTTTTAAAAATTCATTGTACTGCGAGCCTATAAACTGTTATACAAGTCTGGCTCTGCTTTTTGTTATTGGATCGTGCATGTGGTGTTGTCTTTTCAGGCACAAGCTCGCTACATGTAAAATGTTTCAGTTGTCGGAGGTCCTGTTAGAATTGTTCAGAATTCTTTACATGTTATCTACAGAAGATGTAATGCAGCAGACTGGCTGTGGAAAGAGAGGCGAACAGAGTCTTAGGTCCAGTTCATAACAGTGAATGCATTGAATAGTTGCTTTTAGTATTCTAAAGCCTGTTGATGTCTCTCAGGGGTGCAGCCCAGGTTCTTGCCATACAAGTGATGGGGCCTGAGCTGCTGCTTTGTGCCTTCCGCAGCAGACTACCAAGACGGGGACAGTGCTACCCAGACTTGTGCCCTTGTTGATGGGTTGTTTACCGTTGTATTTATTGGAAAGCTGGATGCTGTAATCAGTGGCTGGAAGATTAAAACATGGAGATGGACATCCATCTGAAGCGCCTGCCGTATTGATCATATTGTGTGCCTTCTAAGCTCAAGGGTCTGTCTTTGTTTGAAAGTATTTGTATATGAACGCAATTCCTTTCAACTCCAGATGTCATTTTTGACGTTTTCACTTTCTTTTTAAACATTTTAGCCCCTGTATTTGATTTCTTTTTTGTTTTGCTTCCTGCCTCTAATGATGAAGACAGGGACTGTGATTTTTTTTTTGCGCTGGTTTGGAATTGTGGCAGGGATTTTTGAAACTATGGTAGAGATTGAGAAAATTCTTTTTATATATTTTTTATTAATTTTTGAAATTTATTTTTAATATTAATAAATTAAAATAATTTTGTTAAAACTACCTTCAATCCAAATCTCAAACACCCTTTTAAACAAACTGTCTGTCTTCCATGACCATGCTTGTGTTTTGCTCAAAATTGATGATGGGCCAAAGCTTAGAATTGTAGCTAAATTAGTGATGTGGAATTTTTATGTATAAAAGTATTGTGTTTTAAAAGTATTTTTAAAAAAGTTTATTTTTTTATTTTTTTTAGATTTAAATTAATATTTTTTTAGTATTTTAAATAAGTTTAATATATCAATATTAAAAATTATTTTTAAAAAATAAAAAATATCATTCACATCTATTTTAATATAAAAATTATTTAAAAAACAATTACTATTCACATTTTTTTCTTTCTTCTTTTTAAAATAAACATCACGACAGCTACAGATGCCGGAAAAAAGTTTATTCTGAACTTCTTTGTCACTTTCAATTAAAAATCGGAATTCTAATCCGAATTCTACCTGGATTGGCAAACCATGTCACAAACGGATAAAGCCCCACCCCCCTCTCTCTATATATGTTAATATGTATGGGATAGTCGGAGGTCTAAAAATTCAAGAAGTCTTTCTCAATTCCATCAATAATTAAGGTAAAGCCATGAAACCAGTTAGAAAGCCAGTACCAAGGTTCCCCAAGCAATCCCCTGATCATCCTCCCATCCAGAAATCCTCTTCTCACGGTGAAAGCAAAATTATAGTTCGTTTAAGAACTAATAGCGTCGTTACCAAGTCCGACGTTAAGAAATCCGAAGCAGCCAGCAGTGCCACGACTCCATCGGATAATGTCGTTGGATCGTCAACAGTCCTGCAGCAGCAGCAGGAGAAGCAGGAGGTTGTTGGTAAATCGGTGACGAGTAGTCGTGGAAATAAGGACATGAAGATCAAGAAACAAGGTTTTTCGATTTCGCTAACGAAAGCGGAGATTGAACTTGATTTTCTTCAATTAAGTGGAGTGAAACCTAAGAGAAAACCCCGGAAGAGAGACAAGGAAGTGCAGAGAGCGCTTGATAGCACGTTTCCTGGTCTTAAGTTGCAAATCATTACTTCCAGAGATTATAGATCGAAGCATAAATAGTATCTATCATGTTGGCACTACTCCTGTTGTTCATTTTCACCAGGGTTTTTTCTTCTTTTTCCTAGCATTGCAGACGACTTTTTTTTGTTTTTTCTTATTACATATGCCCGATTCTGGATAAGCTTTGCGAATCAGCGTTGGCCAAGATTATCAAAGACGGGAAAAAAATGACCCAAAGTAGAAGAGTACTATAGCAGATACTGAGGACAGGACTTGATTCTTACATACTTCCTAGAATGTTTTGGGTTTCCTCCTGCAAGTAATGGCTCCACCATTGGAGTAAACCTATGAATTCAATGAACGCCCTGAAGTTAGAACCAGAATATAATAATACATCAGGGTAGCAGTTATTTTCTATATGTATAAATCTGGTTTCTTTTTTTGCTCTCCTAAAAGCACTTGGCAGTATATGTTTACTTCAGGCATAATTTCATGTGCATGCAAAATCTTCATCTGCAAAGGATCCAGCAACATTTTCCAGTGGTTGAGTCGTATTGTGAGTCCTTCCTATGTGTTTTAGCAACTCTTTTCAAATCCAAGACTTTTTTCCGGCCCTTGTTTTGGAATAATGCCGTCGAGAATTTAATTTTCTGATGCATACCTTCGACTTCAGAACTTTTCTGTGCGCTATCACAATTTAACTGCAAAACTTATTTCTTCAACTCAACAAGTTTCGCAGAATCTTCTGCTAGGATATTTTTTCTCACCTTGATTTGAATCATGTTTATCGTACCCGGTTAATATCTAAATCTCGGGTTTAAATCTGATCCATTTTTAAAAAAAATTATTTTATTTTAAGTTAAATAAATTATTAAAATTTAATCAGTTAAGGATCATTTAAATTTGATCAAATCTAAGATTAAAGAAATATTTCATTTAAAAATTTAATTTTTTAGACTAACATAATTTCTTAATATAATTATAAAATTTTATTAATCAGATGGTTACAACTTCAAATCTCTTTGTTCTATTTTAATTAATAAAACATTAGGCATATAGTGATATGAGTTTCTGCATATACATATCTCAAGCTCAAATGATTTTTATTTAAGGTATATATATTAAAAAATAATATAAATTATATTTTAAATATTTATTTTACAGCTTAAATTATTAAATAAAGATAAATATTTAACATGATATCAAAATTTTATTAACCAAGTAATTATATATTCAAATTTCATCAAATTAAATACAATATAATATGTACCTGTACATATTTAGCTTTCAATTTTAAAAAACTTTAACTTAAAAAATATATGGTAAAAAGTAATATAAAATAATATTTTAAAATCTTGTTAAGGAGTAATACAAAGATATTAAAATTATATCTTGAAAACTAATCTAATAACTTATATTTTACATAATAATATAAAATTATCGACCAAAAGTTTGCTCTTTTTGACTAAACCAAACAATATCAACCTTCAATTTAGTTAAAATATAACCTAACCAGAACTAAACTCTGACTGGTAGATCATTAGGTAAACCGGGCGGTCTCTTTGAATAAATATGATTTGAAATCACATATTTAAGATTCTTTACCAACACATTGTTTACATATGGAGGCGGTAGAAAAGAAAACCTTCGCTTGGTATTGCGCTGGAATACAGGAATAGACAGAAATATCTCACCTCTTCAAATTTAAAAGAAGAAAAAGTCATGTCATATTAATAGGAGAAATTAAATAAAAAAGAAAAAGAAAAACTAATAGAGCCAGTGTTACTAGATGTCTAGAACTTCTGAAATTACAAAAATTAAAAACTAAACAATAGTTATTTAAACTATGTTATCAAAATACAATATCAGCTAGATTATAATAAAATAAAAGAGACAACATATATTTATATATAAGACTTATTTTATTTTTATTTTTAAATTTTAAAATAATATCGTTTTAAATTAATCAATACTAATTCAAGTTGATAATCTCAATTAAATCCCACTCAGGATTGGATTAAGCACTGACATTCTTGTTTAATAATTTATGAGTTGTTAAACCTTATCTATGGGTGTGAAATATTGCAATTGAAAAAAGAATCTATCCATCCAGCTGACATCCTAAACCCTAAAATCTCTATAAATGCAGTATACCGCAGTGCTGACCACATAGATTGTAGGCTGTAGCTCCGCTCCCTGGTTGTAAAAATACACCAAAAACATTACTTGAAAAACTATGAAGCCTCCTAATTTGTCAGTGCTCAACTCTTCTGCAATGTCGTCCCAGCAAACCGTGCCTCACCAACAGCCTGAAATCAGAGAACCTAAGCTATCAGTTCGTTTGCACATTAATAATAAAAGGCCAACTGGGAATGCAACTGACGATGTTGAAGGATCGTTGTTGAAAGGAAATAGCAATGATGAGCCTCGTGATCATGATCATATTTTTGTTCATAGTGTAAGCAAAAAAAGGAGAGTGAGTAACAAGAAGGAGATCAAGAAACGAAGTTTTTCGATTTCGCTAAAGAAAGAGGAGATTGAACTTGATTTTCTTCAATTGACTGGAGTAAAACCTAAGAGAAAGCCCCACAAGAGAGACAAGGATGTGCGGACAAAGCTTGACACCCTGTTTCCTGGTCTTCGTTACTTGTAAATTCTTTCTTTCTCCATCAAGACACAGATACTAAGTATCTTTGTAATTAATTTGAGAATATTTACTAGTGTTATCGTTGTTTTTAGTGCTATATGTTTTGAATTTTCATGATTAGGTTGCTTTGTCTTTCTTTTCTTGGATTCTTAACTTTTACAGTTTCAGGATTGTAACTTTTTGACGATGATTGGTATTATCAACTGTTCTATTATATGGTACCGTTTCCTGCTCAACATGGAAAAGCTAGCTAGGACTGTTGTTTTCTTCATTACTAGGGTTTCTATAATCAATATTCCAGGACTGTAATCTTCCTTTATGTTGTTAAATTTGGTTGTATTTTTTGCATCAACCAACATAGTTCTAGCTAGGTTTCTATTTGAGGTATGTACGGTGCTTGAAGATGAAACGCTCTATGGTTTAGGAACTATAAACGTCTTAATTATTACCACTAAGTTTCATGAATTTTTATCTAGGTTTCTATTTGAGGTATGCACGGTGCTTGAAGATGAAACCCTCTATGGTTTAGGAACTATAAACGTTTTAATTATTACCACTAAGTTTCATGAATTTCTCATTCCGGCGAGATAGATAGGGGCACTAACCGCTCTAGTTTTTATTCCCTTTACAAAGAACAAGATATGGTTTCCAGTCCTCCATCTCCTTTGCAAGGAAAAGCACCATGGAATAGCCATGGTAAATAGCTTTCAAACCAATGCCAGTGTTCGTTCTAGTACACTAGGAGCATTAATACGCAAAAGAGTCACAGTCGCAGCTTTGAAACACATGAACTGATAAACTGCAAGAAAGTGATAAATGTGGAAAAAAGTTACAACTCTCACTAGGATCTTCAACAACGAAAATAATGTCCTCCCAGCTATATAACAAAATATCCGAGCACATTTTATCTCACAAAATAATTCACATCATTACAAACCAAGTTGGATACCAGTGTTGTAGCAGACTAATATGTAGAAGAACTAGGGCCAAAACATTGTTAAGAAACACAGGGATCCTCTGTCCACTGCTGCATGGAAAAGTGCTCCCACTAAAGCACCCATTCTTTTGCTTGATCCCTTTGCCGTTATCTTCAAGAACAAAAGTGGAATTTGTCTGGCCATCACTAAATAAAATACACCAAAAGAAGGAACCTTTATGAGCCCCAACCATGCCTACTCCTACTTCTGTATGCGATTTATTTCTTATTATGGATAAAGCTTTACTGTCCTTAACCAGAACATGGGAAAAGGCTGGTGATGGCTCAAGGTACTTGGGTTGACAACCTACAATATGGCCAGTAACGGTGCCAAATGTGGGCAGCTCTACGCCACAATTTGGACCGAAAATCTCAGTAAAGTCATCTTCAGGTGGCTTGCAATTCACAACACCATTGCTAGTGCAGTTTCCCTTGCATAATTCAACATATTGCAGAGCCATGCAGCCAAGACCAGGATTGTCATTCAGCTGTGGTAGTTTCTGGGATGTTCGGTTCTTATTGATGATATCAACAAGATCATTCGCAGGGTTCCCTGATATCAACAGCATGTAACAATGCACCGTTAAAAAAAATGAGCTTGTTGATGTGCAATTACAGTAACCAGCATTTATTAGTATTCAAAATGTCATAATTATCAATGACTAAAGCAGAAGTTCCAACTTATCTTGAGATGCTTAAAAATCCTTTTGAATTGGGCTTCGTAACAAAACATGCAAACGAAAATTCACCATAAAATGGTTCTGGCCCAAGTTTAACTCAGGTGCTCAAAAAATCCTGTATCCTAAATTTTCTTCTGACATCCAAGTCCCTTTACATGTGTGTGCGTGAATTGCATGTTAGAAAATTGTATTTCTGGTGCTAAATCTGTCCTCTAGAAAAAAAATTAATTTGTGACTCCCAATTCTTTAAGATTCCTAATGTAGATAGTCAAATCATATAACAGAGAAGCTATGAACTTTGTTGCCTACAAGATGGAAATCACGTTACTTGACCAACTTAAGTTTGCCTTCCCTATTAATGCTTTAAATTTTGCAGCAAAAGACATAATTTTCAGATAAAGACAAAAGATTACTCCGCCTGTTGATACATGCATCCGTTCATTCATTACAGCAGCTAAACAGTAGGTCCAGATAGAAGCTATCCTTGATGGCTTGATGCCTCCAGAAATATATTTATAACTTGATTTAAACGCGTAGATGATGTTTGCATTTTTTTTCCTTTACAAGCACAATCATCCCTAGTTCTGGGATCCAGGTAGTTCTTTTGAATTATTTGGGATAAAAATGCAATTTTTTTAGTATTGATGCTCTAGTATTGAGTTTCTAGTAATGAATAGAGCTACTGATGCTACCTAAAACTTCATTTTTAGGAAAGCCAAAATTTTTAATGTTGAAGCTCGGATTCCTGTCCTTTTAATTTTAACACTTGCATTATCACCAAAGAGTGGTAAGACCTTGCATAGCAAATTATCAGTCAAGAACAACTACAGTAAACTGCACAGAACTACTTGATCAATATATGAGGAAACAAAAACTCATGAGGCTGCAGTAGAATCGCATTCTCAGAGAAGTCAAGAAAATTAAAGAAAAGTAAACGATTATTACCATGGTGACTGGAGCAAACAACAGTGGCTAGGAATAGCTGGCAAAGTACAATCCACTTCCATTCACAGCAACAATAATGCTTCTTCGCCACCATCATCAATGGTAGAGAGAATGAGAAGGGAAAAGGGAAATAAAACTGTAGAAAAGGGTCTCACTTATTTCCCAAACATTGTAAAGGAAAGGGAAATGGTTTTTATTTTCCGGGAAAGAAAAGTGTTTGTTTATTGTTTACAAAGGGAATAAAAGGGTTGCAGAGATTAAGGAGATATGGGAATGGTGGTCCCGAGGCAGTAGACGTTGTTGTGCCTTTTTGGACACTTGTTTTTCTATTTTCCCTCCGTTTCCCTTCCCTTTCACACTCTTGGAGATGAAGCGCAGATATCGAGGCACCTCCTTCAAGCGGGACCTACCTACCGTTTTCACGCGGACTCCTTGTCAGTGATCAAGCCCATGGAGAGAGATCCACTTTTTTAAGGCTCACAATTCTCAATTTCTTCAAACAGCTAGATAGTTCAAACCATTTTAATTAAAAAAAAAATTATTTATTTTTTTCAAATTATTTATTTTTAATTTTTAGATTATTTGAATGCGGTGGTATGTTCCCGGCCCCGCATTTTGCTTGCCTTTAACCTTTGTTTCTCATGTTAAAATTTGCGAGTGGTCTTCTTGTTTCCGAGCTGGTGTTGCTGCTGCTGATGGTGTAGTTTGATCCGAATCCAACCATATATCTCATATTATTTGGATTTGATCCGGAACTGTAGGAGTAGCTGCTGGTGTAGTTTGATCCGAATCCAACAATATATCTCATATTATTTGGATTTGATCCTAATATGTAATCAGCCTGTACCGAAATTTCCATTTATATATAATATTAATTCTTTTGTTCATCATTATATTTGTAATTACCTCATATCCACTGCTGGAGTAGAATTTTCCAGCCACAGGGATGCTGTTTTGGTATTGACCAGCGTGATTACGAGTAAACTCAAAGAGCTGCAACCATTTGTTATAAATTAACGTGATTGTTAATAAGAGATATAATTATGACATGAATAATTAATTCATTGTAGCTAATATCGTACCTGTTTTGCACGATTTATTAATTTAGTTGCATATGTAGGGTTAGACATGCGGCAGCCAAGGCAGCAGCAGTCTCAGCTGCAAGATCAGCACCAGGGTGTTGATCATCAATCTTTAAATTAGTCCTCGGAGTGGTCATGTCCTCCGGTCTCTCCCAACAATAATTATCAGAATCACAATTACCTACTTCACCATAAAGGAGTCTAGCTGAAGGTGAGCTTTGATGAAGTAATCTGTGCTACATTTGATGGCGTCCAAGGCATTTGAGAGTTCATTTGTGGCCTCTAGTTGGGATTGGAATTCGATGGTGCTCCATGCAAGCATTGTCACAGTAAATGCCATTGGAAATCCAAACTTTACATTATCTCCTGCGTCATAGTATCCTCCTACTCAGTGGCGGAGCCACAGCGGATCAAAAGGAGCAATTGTCCCCTTAATTTTATTTTTATATTAATATATTAAACTCATATATTAATATATATATACACACATTATTGCCCTAATTTTCCTCTTTTTTTTCTTTATCTTCCCATGTCTAACATTGTTCACCTGCCATTCCCTGCTTTTTACTTTACTCATCAATTAATTTTTCTTGTCTTTTGGTTCATGTTTTAGGTAATTTTATTTTAATTTATTATCTAATTTTAATTTTAATTTTTTTATAATTAGTTATTAAAAATATTAGAGTTTAGGATAATTTAGGAGTTTTTATATGAATATGTTAAAAATATATATTTAAATTTATTAATTTAATTAATTAAGTATTTTATTATGATAAAAAATAAATTAATATTCATACAAAACCACTATTCTTGCCATCTTTTATATTAATAATAATTTATTAAAATTTAATATTTTCATATAATTTTTTGTAAGTAAAATACAAAGTAGAAAATATATTTTCCAATTATTATTCTTTTATATATATACTAGATATTATTCCTCAATTAAATATTTAGAAATAATTAAATATAATTTAATCAACATACTTTGACTATTTCTCTTCGTGTGTGTGTGTGTATATATGAATTAAAATATGTTTTGATTTTGATAAATCAATATGTATTTTTAAATTAATTTTACTTGATATAAATTAATATATATGTTTTGAATTGTTTTTTAATATATGTATATATAATATGTTATTTATTAATAATTTATCTCCTCATTTAATTTTTTTATACTCTGTTGGTACTCCTACTAGATCAATTTGTTAATGCAAATTCAATCACCCCATGTCGATTAACTTGTTTGTTAATTATATATATACAAATAAATTCAAGTGTCCAATTTTCTAATTAACAAAGACAATATGTTTCTCTATA